ATTTACTTAGCTTTATTTATAATTTTAAAGGGTAATATATCTTTATTTCTTAGCCTACTTAAGTAATTAAAAAATTCCTTAATTTAAGAAATAATTAAAGCTTTAAGGTCTTAAACTATAAGGTATTAATAGTATAAGTATTAAAGAGAATTTTCTTAATAATTTAAAGGGTATAAATAAGATTAGCTTAATTTAAGAATAAAATTTAATGGATTTTAATAGAGTTAATAATATTTTTTCTTTAAGATTAAGAGGCCTTATAATACTAAAATTTTAATATTTTAACTAAGAGAGTAAGTAAATATAATTACTATTATATAAGAGCTTATAAAAGAGAGTTATAATAAGGTTATAAGAGCTTATAATACAATTAATAAGTTATATTATAAGAGAGCTAAAAGAAGTGAAGAAGTTAATCATGTAAAAGAAGAAGAAGAAGAGCTAGCTAGAGGGTAGCAGCGTAGCAACAATAACCTAGTGCCTCACACGTGACCATGTGGGCCCTAACAGACTATGCCGATACACATAAGAACAAAGAGGGGCGAGGCTATGCGGTAATGGTAGCAGCTGCGTATTCCAAGAACCTTCTCTATCAGCTTCCTCCACACTCGGTCGAGAACGAGCGCAAGTTGAAGAATGTTGTTGAGAGCGATTAGTTGTTTCCCCAAAAGCGAGCCCGGGAGGGGGTTTCTTCGACGGCCATCTCCCCTTACAATATATCTACAGAATGAAAATGAGAATACACTAATCAATATAGTACTTCTTACTAGTGTCAAAACAGTCAGTCGCCGACTAGATGAAGCGGACAATCGCGAGATACTCCAATAGCTTTCAACAGTCGACTACCGCGCGGTCCAAATCCATAATTCCAGCCAACGACAGCGAGGAACTTGCCAATGGTTCCTGGATTCTAAAGCGTACCAGAGTTGGTTAAGGGCCGACAACCAGACACTATTTTGCCATGGCGACCCTGGAGCAGGAAAGACAATATTGACAGCCACCGTGGTTGATTATATTGACGCTAGCATCCAAAATGACGCCACCATCGGTCTCGCATACGTCTATTTTGACTTCCGAAGACGAGACGATCATAAGCCCGAGGAACTACTTGCGAACCTGCTGAAACAACTAACCCGTCAACAAAGCTCCATGCCTGGGGATGTACAAGCTCTATACGACTAATGCAAGAATTTATACACACGGCCCTCTTTCGACGAAATCTTCAAGATTCTATGTTCTGTCAGAAGCCTCTATTCCAGGGTTTTCATTATTGCAGATGCATTAGACGAGTGCCATGCGAAGAGAGGGTGGCGAGACCGGCTTCCAGACGGGATATTCCGACTTCAGGAGGAGTGTGGGGTGAATATCATGGCGACCTCAAGGGCTCTCCCAAAGATAGCAAGCAGGTTTCGAAACCGCGATGGTATACATATCAGAGCCAAGAATGAGGATGTTAAGAAATCTCTAGAAAGTCGCATTAGCAAATTACCGACATTCGTCATGGAAGACCACGACTTACGGAGTGAGATCATCACAACGATAGCTCATAGAACCGATGGCATGCTCGTGTACCCCTAACATTACTTCCACTAATCATGTTTATTCGATTACTTTGCCCTTTTCTATTTGTCTTCTATTTCGAAAAACGCACCGGATGCTAATCTTCGCCACAGGTTTCTGCTTGCCAGGTTGCACCCAGACTCTTTGGCCGACGAGGTTACGGCCGGAGATAGTAAGCAAGCCTTGGATAGCCTGCCCAGAGAGATAGATGCGACATATAAGATGACTCTAAGCAGGATCGAGAGTCATCAAGGTAGAGGTAGCTACCTCAAGCTAGCCAGAAGGGTTCTCGGCTGGCTCGTATATGCAAAAAAGGTCCTTACCAAGGATGAGCTCCGATATGCCGTTGTCGTTGAATTGGGTACACGGAAGCTGAATAAAGCATTTATTCCTAGTATCGACATGGTATGCTCTGTGTGCGCAGGCCTGGTGACGTTAGATGCAGAAAGAAACTTGATTCGCCTGGCGCATGACACCACGCAACAGTACTTTGAGGGCGCGGGAAGGAACTGGCTCCAGATTTCCGAGCTTGACATCGCCGAGGCTTGCATCACATGGCTTTTATTTGATGTCTTTGCAAGCGGAAATATGGATGATTTTGAAGGGCTATGCCAAATACACCCTTTGTACTCCTATGCTTGCGACTATTGGGGGCATCATGCTCGTTCCGCACCACATCTACGTAAAGACGAAGAGGCTGTTGAGCTAGTTCTAGGATTCTTAAGAAACAGCAACAACGTTTGCAAGGAAATTACCAAGCTGCGAGACGAGCTCCCATTCAAGGGTTCTTGCAGATTGAGCGCTTTCGAGTTGTACGCCGAGAGGCCGATTGGCATTCATATTGCAGCACACTTTTGGACTGAACTCTATAATCGTCAAGTTGATGAAGCCTACACATGGGCAGGCCTAGGGTGCGGAAGCCAGGGATAGGGATCGTCGCACGCCCGCGCATTATGCTGCGGCCAAAGGGCACACAAAGACAATTCGGTTATTGCTCGAGAATGGCGCGAACAAAAATGCCCAGGACTGCCGTGGTCAGGCCTTACAGTACGCCATTGAGGGTGAGCATGAGGCAGGTGTTGAGCTGTTGGTTTCCTCCGGTGCTAGTATCGAAACCAGGGATTCGGAAACGACATTGGTGATAGCCACCAAATGCCTACCGATTTTGCAACTACCTCTGAAGCGTGGTGCCAATATTGATGAGCGAAATGAGCTTGGTCAGACACCACTTATGGTCACCATAGATAATATGCGCCCCGAAAGTGCCCGACACCTGGTTGCGAGTGGTGCCAATGTCAACCTCGCGGGCGACTTTGGCCTGCCGCCATTATGGATAGCTCTAAGAGTATGTGACGCGGACTTGGTGGAATTGCTACTTGAATCAGGAGCCCAAATTGACGACAAGCACTACAGGACAGCGATAGCGAAACGATATTATCATTGGCGGCAAGGTGTGGAGTGACCTCCATGGTAGAGTTGTTGTTGAAAAGAGGAGCCCGTGTAAACAACTCCGGGGGGGTTTCCACGCCACTACATGAGGCGGTTCATGTGGGCCACGTGGAGGTGACAGAGCTTCTTCTAGACAATGGCGCCGAGCTTGACGTCGAGGATAAAAACGGGCGTACGCCACTAAGCATCGCGGCTGCCAAAGGCAAAACGACACTTCTACAACTGCTGCTAAGGCGTGGTGCTGGCGTAAACTTCAAGGCAAAATGCAACGGGCTGGCGCCTCTTCACAGGGCTGCTGAAAAGGGGAATGTGACCACCACAGAACTCCTTTGTGCTCGGGGGGGTGATATCAATATACGAGATGAGCTGGGACAGACGTCACTACACAAGGCTGTTGAGTATGAGAAGAATACTGTCGTGAAGCTCCTGTGTGCTCGCGGAGCTGACGTCAATATACGAGATAGCGCGGGACAGACGCCACTACACAAGGTTGCTTGGTTCCCGTCTAATCGACAGACGGATATTGCAAAACTATTGATAGCTAGTGGATCTCATACTCATGAGGGAAGAACACCGCTATTCCTAGCGACTTCCGGGGGAAACTCGGATATTGCACAGTTGCTACTCTCCCGCGGGGCTGATGGTAATGCAATAGACAAGGACTGAAGGACACCGTTGCATGAGACCGCTGAGGGGGCGTTCCTGGAAGTCGCTGAACTATTAACTCGCCTATGGGTCTGATACCAAGCATTAAAGATGATGGCGGAAGGACGCCTGTTTGCCTTGCTATTTCAGCGGCGCAAGGGCTTTGTTTCCAGCGCTATAGCAGAATTGAGCGCACGATTGAGATACGAAAGACGCATAAACAAAGTTGGTTCAAGAAGACTGGTCACTTTCCCGCGAGGCCAACTAACGTTGTTGCTATAGACAGTGACGAAGTGATACGGCCATATATACGGAGTAACTCTTGAGGAGATATTGCGTCCTATGTGGCAAGACGCAAAGCCCTCACTCCGCATATATAGCAAGATAACTTGGCTTTGCGCAATACCACAAGAGGCGCAGGCAGACCGCGGCGTGGTGGGCCGTGAATAGGTGATGTGGAGGCTTGCTCCCCTCTGGTTTCGAGGCAGGGGAGAGAGAAAATCAGAGCTAATGAGATTGTTTGGCAGTCACCATGGTGGTGGAAGCTTTGTTGTTCATGGAATGATATCCCTGTATTAGTTTGGATGGTGCGGGAAACTGGGGTCATGTTGAATGGCTGTGAGTCGGATGTAGACGGGGCCGAGCGGCATTGACCCACCAAAAGGGCCGCGCCGTGCCGTTGGCCGTTCCCGGGACGGGGCACTTCGGAGCACCGAACGGAGCCGGTCACCGTTCCAGCCAGACTGACCAGGCAGCTGCAAGATTTGGCGCCCCCTATCTTCTTTATTTCTCCTTTCAATACATGAGTACATGCCGTAGGTGGTCAGCTCCTAATGTCTGGTATAATATGAGCACTCTCCTGCTACCTGTCGGCCCAGCGGCAAAGAAGTCAACTCGTAGTAATATCTACCAGGGCCCGTTGTAAAACTTGGCTGAGCCACGGCTGGATTGTGGTGGTGTTACTTGGAAGAGATTTGCGCTGGAGAGCATGCCAATGGCCTGCTTTCGATACTCAATGGCCTGGGTATCTTTTGGTAACCTTTGGCAAGGGTCGGGGTAGGCACCGCACATCGGACGACAAAATTGGCCATCGTACACTCTGTGCCGCGGCCATGTCCGGAAACTTTGAAGCTCTGCCACAGTTGCGTTCCCCGGTTCATTTCATGCTCTTGGCATATGAAAGAGGCTTGACATTGATTCCTCAACTTGCAGTGGATAGTCCCTCGCGATGCTCTGTACGAGATACTGAATGCTGGATCATTGCCAATACACGGAAGCCGTGTGCCTGCGTCAAGCTCCTCTCGTCGCTTCGGGCATCGCAAATGATGATATTGCGTGCATCCGCCAATTCAACGCCCGTTTATAACATCTTTGGCGTCACTTGGGTGCCCAACAAAGAGCCAACGTGGCTTTCCGTGATGTAAAAAAGGGAAGCCATGCGGCTATGTCGAGCCATGATGGCAAAGCCGGCTTTCCATGCGCGTTTAGGCCGGAAAACAGCCGTCAAGCAAAGTCGGAATACCGAGAAATATGGGGTCGGCTCAAGACCCTAGGGGACCGGTGCATCTTTCAAGGCTAATAATGAGACACAAATGACCTTTGTTGAAGCACGACTCTTCAGTTTCATCAACGGTCAACGTCACACATGCTCCAACTGGCAAAAGAGATGAATACTCCTCGCACATGCCCGGATCTCGTCTCTCGGAGTGTTCCATGCCAAGACATTCGCCTGCAAGATGGTGTGACAAATCGACATATCATCTGGTCGACTCTGCAACATGACGCGCTGCTCAAGATTTTACAATCCTGCCAATCACGCTTGTCCTCTTCTGGGGTGCGGGCCCACCCATCATTTATTTGCTGGGCCCCCACCCAACGCGTGGCGGGCCTGGGCCACTTAGAGACAAAAAGCGCTGCGTCAACTCTGACAGCAGGAGCTCTGCTCCACTCCTTCCTTTTTAATCCCAGAGCACGTCTGGTGGCTTCAAATGTTTCGTATAAACTCGAGTACGAATGCATCCTCACCTCACCTCATCTCGTACCTCGCACCTCAGCTCCATACTTGTGACAGCCCTTGCTTGCATACATGCCCGCCACCTTCCTCCCCAATGTCCTTGTACCACCACCAACCTTGAATGCCAGTTGGCGACTCTAATCATCATTTTCGTCATCCCGCCATCACTTGCGACTGCCCGACTGCCCCTCATCCAACCGACGAACCAACACATCATCGCCATCTAGATCCTACGCCCTTTGCGACCCTACTCCATCGAACGCCTACCTGGCCTCGTTCTGTCTGGGCTCTCCCTGCTCCTCACGCCGCATGCAGGATACAGGCAGAATGTGGCCATTCACACATTGCGGCAAAGGCGCCTGCAACCCCCGCGGCCTGAATACCACCGACTCCAAGGCGCTGGTCGCCTTGTTCCCCTTTGCGGCAGCCTTCGTCGTCGTCAATATACTCGTCGTACGACACGTGTTCCCCAAACTGAGTCGTGCACACGATGAATACCGCGATGGCGAAGACCATTACCTCCCTGCGCATGCCCCGCCCGCTTTGCGACAAGCTCACGCCGAACATGGCGCAAAAAGCTGGAAACGACGAGGTGCTGCTTGGACATTCGGCGCCACCGTTGCGCTGGCCTTCACCTTGGGCCTCATCATACTCGCTGAAATATTGGAGGTGGTTGACCCAGTGGCCAAGAACCTGGCGTTGCATCTTACTGTCCCGTCTCTGCTTTTCCTGCTGATCGTCTTGGTCCCGTGGCTGCAATGCCGAGCCATCATGACCAGCGCGGGATGGAGCTTCCAGCGCACAGCCAAGGGGTCCATCCCCAAGGTGGCCTGGGCTCTGCAGTTCATGCTGTTTGGCGCCTGGCTGTTCACCTTCTGGTCCGTAGGCAATACCGTGCCAGAATCAGCCACCAAGGACCTGTATGAGCGCGGCATCAAGCGGACATCCTCCGAGACACTGACAAAGGAGTGTCTCGAGAGGGTCGGTGTCGTGGGAATCTGCCTCATGGCTCTGTTGGCCGGTTTTGCGTCCGTGTCTACGCCCTGGCACACCTTCGTGGATGCAGCAACAAGGAGGAAACGGCCGGTGACAGAGGCTGACGTCAACAGGAAACAGACTGGTCTGGAGGCTACCAGAGAGATGCTCGTTACGAAGCGCCATCAACTTCAACAGCTGGAAAGAAAAGCTCAAAACTCTACTACTGCTCCACAGGGCTCGACAGGTCTCGTGGGCAAAATGATGGGAACATTCCGTGGAATTTCAAGCGACGAGGCCGAGATGCGCGCATTGAGAGTCGACATCTCTGGTCTGGAAACCCTGGAAGCGAACCTCGCATCCAACCTATCCATGATGCAGAACCACCGCGCTGCCACGGTCCGAGCCTCAACAGTATGTGGCCGAATCATGTTGGTGCCTTCATACGTCTTTGCAGGCTACTGCGTGTACCGAATTCTCGCCACCACCCTCACCACCTTTCGACGAATCCATTCCTCGTCAGCCAGTTTCGCCAACAGCGACCCCATCAACAGATTTCTCGGCCTCATGGCCCGGCACTGGGACCCAAAGCTGGACCAACTCGCATGGGCAAGAACAATCAGCTTTGCCTTGAGCGGCGTCATCTTACTAGCCAGCGCAAACAGCGTTGTCCAGACATTCCACCTCTTTGCCAAATGGACGCCTGGTTTGCTGCGGCACGCACAGGCAAACTTGGCTTTGACAATTGGGCAAATCACAGCCACCTATGTCATTTCTGCATCCCTGTTACTCAGAAGTCAACTACCGGCCAAGGCAGGAGTGGCTGTTACTGGCGTGCTCCAAGGCGCCCTGAGTCCATCCTTTGTGGACCACTGGTTCGAAATGTGGTTTTTGTCGGGAAGTGTTTTGACCTTCTTTGGCATCTGGATGGGACGCAAGTTATCCAAAGGGTTCGGCGATGATGAATGGGATGACTACGGGATGGAAGAGATGGGAGCAAAGCGGTCATAGCTAGCATAAACACGTGCATGTATCTGGAAAGCATCTTTTTTTTTGTGCGTTGGAGTTGGGAGTTTCGCCATTTTATAGCTGGACTCGGTCTTTCGTAAATATATCAAACCAGGCTTCGTGCCTCAGTGCTCGTTTACCCTCATCCTCGATGCTCAATGCTCCATCCATTCCATGTATCATTCCAAAGCCACGCCCGGTGCAAGCCAATCTCACCACAGCATCCACATACATCCCATGCTTCCACCATCAAGGTCCCTTGTTCGCCTTGCCCCCAAACTTGGTCATCAACCTCGGGCCATCCATCTCCCTCTCCTTCTCCTTCTCCCCATTCTCGCCATACAACCTGAACCCTTCCAAAATACTCCTCCAAGACCCCTCGCTCACGAACCCAATGTCCTCGCCGTCAGCCCACCGTCCGGCCTCAACCTCCGCCTGCGTCGCCCACGCCCACCGGTCATGCTCCCTCTCATCCAGCCTCACCACGCCGCCGTCGCCCAGGTCCTCGTCCACGTCCACCACGACCGTCACCTTGCCCCACCTCAGCATGCCGTGCCTCTCGTCGGACTCCCAAAACGACACCGTCCTCGCGTCGTCCCCCTCGTTCCGCGCCTCCTCCCCCTTCCCCTCGGCCTCCAGGTCCGCCGGCGCCCGCGGCGCCTCCTCCAGCATCCCCACGGGATACAGCATCCTCCTGGCCCCCAGCCCCGTCTCCTCGCGCAGCTCGCGCCGCACCCCGTCCAGCACGCTGCCGTCCTTGCGGTCCGATGTCGACCCCCCGGGGATCTCCCACCTCAGCGGGTACGAGTCGCTCGGCGCACGGCGCAGGAGGAGCGTCTGCGCCGCGCCCTCCCACCTGCGGAACACCATTGCCGCCGCCATGAGGCGCTGCAGGTGCGGTCTCGAGGAGAGGAATTCCGACGGCGAGCACTTCAAGCACGCGGGGATGGCGTCGGAGACGGTGTAAGGCTCGTCCATGGCTACGATGTTTTTTTTTGTTTTTTTTTTTTGGTGTGTTGGTTGTCAAGGGAAAAGTTCCGTAGGGCGCGGGGTTCCACTGGCGAGATGACGTTATGGGGTCACGGAGCGCATGTGCTAGAGTTGTGAATCCGCAGCATGGCCGCGGCGATAAATGGTCTGGTATTTACAAAGTTTGACACGTCAGGTAGGTGCCCAGTCACCCCCTTCCCCCCCCCCTCCAACGTCACCACACTCACGGCCACACGAAGAAGGCGTCACTTTTCAGAAAATATATATATTACCAAATCAAAGGCACTAGCACCGCAAGATTCCCAATTCAGTCCCACTCATCCCCAACCCACGCCCCTTCGCCTCGCTCTCTCCTTTTCCATGGGCCCCCCTTTTTTTTTTGCTAAGAACAGATCGCCATGCCAGTTATCATCAAAACTCATCAGTCGTGTAGTTCGTAGCATGCATCCATTAATCAGCGCGGTGAAGAAAAAAGATGGAAACCAGAAGAAGAGAAGAAAATCTTCCGCGTCGGCACGCCAAAACACTGACTTTGCGTCGGGAGTGGAAGAGGGGGGAACTTTGAAACAGAAGGAAGGCGTGTCCATGTATCCCAGAAATAAAAGGCTAGGTAGATGTTTGTATTTCCTCGTCATATAGAGAAATATCAGCGTCTTTCTTTCTTTTCTTCATTCCCGGAGAAAAACAAAACACGAGTTTCAAAGGTTGGGGGAAAAAAATGATAGGTCTGGGATCCATGGGCGCTATCTTGCGATGGCATCTATAGTCGTTAAACGAAATACGGAAAGAAAAAGAGAACAAAAAGAGAAATCGAGTGGTTAAGAAAAAACGGAAGGGGGGGGCGTGACTAGAATGTACAATTTCATTGCTCTTTTTCTTGTGGTGTCTCCCCTTTTACGCCAGCGGGCGTCCTTGACGTCCCTTTTTGTTCGGCACAGTCGTCCATCCATCCTCGTCCACCGGGGTGGTCTCGCCCTCGCCTGCCCCCTGGGCAGCAGAAGCTTGCTGGTCTCGTGCTCCGTTGGCACGAGGTCCTCCTCGGCCTTCATTGCGGTGTCCTCGGGCCGCACCGCCACGGCCCCGACCACCACCTGGGGGTCCGCGAGGGACGCGCTGATCGTTGGAGGCCGATCTCCAGTTTCCAGACTCAGTGGCCCTTGACTTGAAAGCTTCCTTGGGTTCCCGGGACTCCCGGCTTCTTGGCGCTCCCTTTTGCTCGGTAGACGCTCCGTTTTGCTTCTCGTCAGCTTCGTTCTCAGCAGATTTGGTCTCTGGCTCCTTGGCTTCGTCGGCCTGTGCAGCGGCCGCCGCCGCAGCGGCCGCAGCAGCTTCAGCTTCTTCCTTCTCAGCAGCGGCCTGCTTGGCAAGTCGTCGCTCCTCCTTTGCCTTTTCATCGGCTTCTCGCTTTTCCCGGATGGCAATCTGGCGCTTTTCCTCGATTTCTTGCTCACGGGCCGCTGTGTTGATGGGTCGAGCGGCTCCGAATGGGCTAGCCTTGGAGTCGCCGCTAGAAGTGGTGGTGGGAGCAGCCTCAGTAGTCTCAGTGACAGTCCGCTTCTGCAGGTTCAAGCGGGGGCGGCCTCCTTGGGCAGCGGGTGCAGGTGCCGAGGGAGAAGCAGCGGTTTCAGTCTCTTCTTGGGCCTTGGCAGCATCAGGGCGCATGCTAGAACGCCACTGGAAGTCCTTCTCGGCAGCAGTAGGAACACGTTCGGGTTGCTCTCGTCGAGGAGGCCGTGAACCTTCCTGTCGTCCCTCGCCCCAAGAGGCAGAGCCTTGACGAGATCCACGGTGAGATTCGCCCCGCTCACCCATGCCTTCGGGAGCAGGACGAGATCGGCTGCCTTCACGAGGTCCAGGGCCACCCTCCTGAGGAGGCAGAGGAGAAAGAGGTCCGCGTCGTTCCCAGTTCATCTCACGAGGAGCACGAGGTTCAGCAGCAGGGTCACGAGGAGGGCGACGCTCACGATCACCACCAAAGTCGGAACCAGTACGGCCGCCACGCCCAGGAAGGTCCGGAAGAGGTCCCTTGCGAGTCCAGTCACTAAGATCGCGAGACGATTCGCCACCGCGGCTGTCACCACCACGAGCTGAATATTGTCAGTTGATCCATCGTCAGCCAGCATTGGCGGCGGCAGCAACTTACGAGGGTCGGCAATCTTAATCTTGATCATTCGTCCATTGAAGGATTCTCCATCGAGGGTCAAGGCCTTTTTGAGCCCTTCGATATCAGCAAACTCGACATATCCGAAACCCTTGGGACGCTGCATCTCGCGGTCCTCAATAATGCGAACGCTGACAATCTCACAGCCCTCGAAGAATTCAGTGACGGTCTCATTGGTAGCGTCATAGGCAAGGTTACCAAGGTGGGCAGTGAATGGGGGCTTATCGGGAAGTTTCTGAGGAAGGTTCTCCCTAATGGAGGAGTAGCCTGGCTTGCGGTTAGCAATGAAAGCTGACGACTGAAGTATCCGCAAGTACTGACCCCTATCCTGCCAATTCGACATGCCACTGTTGCCACCTCCAAAGCGAGGTCGGTCGCTAGGGGGTAGAGGCTGAGTGCCTAGTTACACATTGTTATTAACATCACTACTACGCGTCTCGACAAATCGGAAGTCCCAATCATACCGGTGACTGCAAGCGAGGGTCCGTGTCAGTTTTGGCTTCAGCATGCTATGGCGTAGACATCCGACTCACCATAAGTTTCCTCAACTTCATCAGCCCAAGACCCTCCTCCAAAACCTGAGGATTGGATTAGCAAACGGACACGACACACCACCACATGGGGAGGTTGGTGGCGGGGTTCGTGATAGCCCCGCGACTAGCAACGCACCACTATCAGTCAGAAAGTCCCCCAGGGACATTTTCTGCTGTTCCTTCTTCTTGGGAGCTGCAGCACAATAAACCGTCAGCCATGCTCTGAATTGGTTGACGAGTCCGTCTCTGGTATTTCGGGGTCGGGCATACCCATGATTGCGGCGTGGGCGGCTACGCGCAACCGAGTCAAAGACCGATGCGCGCAGAACTAAAAGTCGACAGGCGAAGAGCCGAACCGAGCAGCTCTCTCCTCGTCAAGCGGGCAAAGGGAACGACGGGCAATGTCGCTGGTTCCGAAGAAGATAAAATTTTCTGCTTTTTTTGTCCAAGCCAGGGATTGGCGCGGGATCGGAACGATCGCGATAGTTGACAAGACCCCGACGAGCGTTGCCGTGTCTGGGGTTGTTTCGAGTCGAAATTTGCTCGGGCGTGGAAAAAATGTTGGAGTCTGTGAGGGTTGCCTTCAATTTTCGCCAGCCAGGGAGTGGGATGCGCTAGTCCTATTTAAATCTAGCCCAGATGTGCCGATGTGCGGCTTGACGGGGCCCTGGGTGAGGGACAGCTTGCACATTGAACATATGAAGGCCTTTGGGGCTTTGGTCCAGCTCCTATTGGGCCGTCCCGGGGACTGAGTGAGCACCTACAGTGGGTGGGTGGTGCTGTAGAGAGGAAGTTCGCCATGTGTGTAAGCAGTTCAGCCAACCAGACCAAGGTTCTCCATTTGTGCGTTCATGCTGGGATCCACCTCGGACCACTATGGGGTCCCGCTTCAAAAGTTGCAAGTTGCAAGTCGAGGTAACTCAAGGTTAACGATAACGAACCAACGTGAGCCAACGCAAGAGTGACAGCTATGAGCATCTGACCCTTACCGCGTCGCATATCAGGGACCGAACATGGTCCTTTCATAAAGCTGGCCTCAATTTTGCCTCGGGGGTCCAGCGAATACTTCGTACCACAGCGCCGCTAAGTCTTGGCAACCTCTGCCGGAGCGAAGCCTTTCAAGATGACATCAAACGGCGATGACAGAGCAGCAAACACGCAACGGAGGCCGCAAAGGCCAGGATTCTTTCCTCCCGAATTTGCAGAGCTTTTTGTACCGCCATTAAAGGTAGGTGTCTACTCGGGTATGTCAGCTTCCACTGTCTTGCACCTCTGCGTCACTGAGAAAATTTTGTCTGAGACGCAAACAGGTACGGCGGGTGTTTTGGCCGGAGTAGGCGGAGCAATTGCCAGAGATACCAGCCCCGTAGCCAGCGGAGTATTCTCTGGAGTGCAATGGTTCATGCTGGGCAGCAGCTTCTGGTGTAGGTCAAGTCTTACATGGCAACTCTTCAATCACGCCAAATGGTCATCATCTTGACTTACGCTCATAACAGTCACCAGATCTGTAGGAATAAAAGCGTACGGGGGCGAAGAAAGAATGACAACAACAAACAAAGTTTGTGTCAGTGGCTTGGCTGGTTCGACAGCGGGAGCCGTGGCCGGATTGGCTCGTGAGTATTATCCTTCACATTGACGATGCGTCCCTCTAGCTGATGGTTCATGACAGGTGGCCCTGCGAGACTATTGCCAGCCATGGTTATATGGGGTTTGGTGGGAGCAGGTGGGCAGGCAATTGCCAATCGTTCGGCACCATCACAGACTAGCAAAAGCAGTGACGGCAGCAGTTGGCTTTCAAAACTGAGCCCGTTGAAGAAGTTGACCGATGAGGAGTATATCGATATGATGAAGGAGAAGATTTTGAAAGTAGAAGTGGATATTGCTTTGATTGATGATCGAATTGCCGAACTCAAAGCTGCTGAAGAGGCAAAGGGGGTTCGAAGGCAGGACGGAGATGCTTCGCGATGATAACAAGGTGAATAGATGGAGACAAATGCATCGTGGGGGGTTGAGCAATGCCTGAATCAGAAGCGTGGAATAAGATGGGTACGTTTGTAACATCAGAGACATGACACTGTGTTCTATGCGGAAGGTAACACTACAAGAATTTAGGATAGAATATTGTAATATTTCGTGGATCAGCTATTCTGGCCGCCTCCGAGTGGGCAAATCACGCGGAGTACTTTGTCACCAAGCATCACGCAGCGTGCTGCTTTCTGTAATTGTGATATCTTGTCTAGTCAGCCACCTGTCACTGTTGACTGAGGAGGTTTCGTCAGACTTGATCACGCATC